GTCAAGGGTGGCTGGAGCATGACCTGCACTCTGTGGAAACTACAGCCCAGCCTGCAGCGGGTGGGAGTTCTGGGGTTGGGCAGCATAGAGGAGAGCCCAGCCTGACCTCCAGGAAGACAGGCAGAAGTCTGGGGGCCTTGGGACACCACGCTGTGGGTCAGGAGCATCTCTGTGTCACAGTGTGACCACCCCAGGCTTATCCCCCTGTGTGCCCTGGGACCCTCTCCCAGCCCTCACCCTCTGACCCCCTCCTGGGTGCTGGGACAGGTGATGTGCTGGCGGTTGGGGTTTTCCACAGCCTCTCTCCACAGACAAGGAGCGGGACAAGGCGAAGGAGAAGTACGTGCGCAGCCTCTGGAAGCTCCATGCCCTGCACAATCAGTATGTGCTGGCTGTGCAGGCGGCTGCAGTGCACCACCAGCACCACTACCAGCGGGTGCTGCCCAGCCTGCATCAGTCCCTCTACAATCTGCAGCAGGAGATGGTCCTCGTCCTGTAAGAGCCCTGCCTGCCCCGCTGCCCACCCCATGCCCCACTGCCCATCCTGTGCCCTGCAACCAGCCCTGCACCCCACTCCCTACCCCTGGGCATGCCCATGGCCCCCCAGAACCAGCACTGCTCCTGCAGAAAGGAGATCCTCAGGGAGTACTGCAGCATCAGCAGCCTGGTACAGGAAGACCTTTTGGCCACGCACCGGGAGATTGCCAGTGCCATCCAGGCCATCGACCCTGCCACTGAGTACAGCAGCTTCATCCAGAGCCACCAGTATGGCTCCACACAGCTGCAGCCTCTCTGCCGGGTACGGCCCTGCTGCCGTTGGGCGGCAGCGGCCGGCATGGGGCAGGTGGAGGCAGAGCTGTCCTGGATGCCCACAGGTACGAATCTGAGGTCCCACCAACCGTGTCCTTTGATGAGAGCCTGCTGGAGGACACAGAAAACCTGGTGCCAGGGGAGCTGCAGCTGAATGAGCTGACCCTGGAAAGTGTCCAGCACTGGTGAGTGGGACTAGCCGTGGGCAGGAGCAGGTGAGGGGCAGGGGCTGAGCCCCCCGCTGGCACACATCTCTTGCAGCCTGACATCGGTTGAGGAGGAGTTGGTGGCCGCCACGGAGGCCGTGAGTATCAAGGAGCAGCAGATGCAGGAGCTGAAGACAGAGATCCATGATGAGGAGCAGGGCCGGAGCCCCGGGGAGCGGTGAGGTGCAGCAGAGGGGGGTGAGGGGCCAGGGCAGCGGGTGCTGATCACCCTGTCCCCTCCCCAGGGTGCACTTGTTGGGCAGGCGGCAGGGGCTGCATGAGGCGCGGCAGCAGCTCGAGGGCTGCCTCTGTGCCCAAGCCAAGCTGCAGCTGCAGCGGGACGTGCTGGCCAGGAAGCTGGCAGAGCTGGGCACCAGGGACCCCCTGCCTGCCCTGCCTCTGCCGGAGGATCGGCAGTCTGTCTCCTCCACGGTGAGTCAGTCTGGCCTCGTGTGCTCTGGAGGCTGCAGGGGTGGGTGCACAGCTGATGCGCAGCCCCTGCCTCCTTCCAGGAGCAGGAGCGGAGCGGGGCCAGTGCACTGGAGACCCTCAAGAACCACATCACGGGGATCTTCAGCCCAAAGTACTCGGTGAGTCCCTGGGTGCCACCCTGGTCTCCACCCAGCTGCCTTGCTGAGCCTGTCCTCTCCTTTCTGGCCACACAGCCCCTCCTTGTTTCAGCACCTCCAGACTCTGCTCCCACCTGCTCTGGGCACAGCTTCCAGACACCGCTGCTGCCCCACCTCCGGCACAACTCAGGAGTGTGCGTGGCTGGGCTCACCTTGTCTCCTTCCAGCTGCCACCCCCCGTGCCCCTAATCCCAGACGTGCAGAAGCCGCTGTGCCAGCAGGTCTGGTACCACGGGGCCATCCCACGTTCGGAGGTACAGGAGCTGCTGACCTGCAGTGGAGACTTCCTGGTGCGGGAGAGCCAGGGCAAGCAGGAGTACGTGCTCAGCGTGCTGTGGGATGGGCAGCCCCGGCACTTCATCATCCAGGCTGTCAGTGTGAGTGGCCACGAGCAGGGGGCATGGCTGGGGCGGCCTTGCATGGGCACTTTGCATGGGCAGTTGGGGGTTCCTGCCCATCACAACCTCTTGGCCTCCCTCCCTGCAGAACATGTTTCGGCTGGAGGGTGACAGCTTCCCCACCATTCCGCTGCTCATCCAGCACCTCCTGCAGAGCCAGCAGCCCATCACCCGCAAGAGTGGCATTGTCCTGGCCAGGGCTGTGCCCAAGGTGATGCAGCCAGCGGAGAGGAGGGTGGGGCTCCCTGCACAGGGGCAGCTCTGCCCGGCCCTTTCTCCTGTTGATGGCTGGGCTGAGAGCCACAGGCATGCTTCTCCAGCTAGACAGGGGACCTTGGACCTGGGGCTCTGCCTGAGAGGGGCCTGCAGGGGTCTGTGGGCCAGGGGCAGCTCACTGGTGTCTGTTTCCTGCAGGACAAATGGGTGCTCAACCACGAGGATGTGCTGCTGGGGGAACGCATTGGTCGGGTGAGATGGGGTGCTGTGGGGTCTGCAGGAGGGCAGGGCTGTCCTCACAGCATCTGCAGGAGGACAAGGGTTGCCTTGGGCCACATGGTGAGCTGAGCCTGCTGCACCTGTGTCTCGGAAGGGTAACTTTGGGGAAGTGTTCAGTGGACGCCTGCGTGCTGACAACTCCCCTGTTGCTGTGAAATCCTGCCGGGAAACCCTTCCGCCTGAGCTCAAGGCCAAGTTCCTGCAGGAAGCCAGGTCCGTGTGGCTGTTGGGCTTCTCCTGTCACATCTGTCCACTCTTGGAGCTGTTTGATACTGCTGAGACTGCACCACCCTCGTGCTGAGGGCTGTGTCCCCGGGCTGGCTGGTCAGAGTGCCCTGGGGATGGCAACGGGTGGCTGGTGCCCAGGGCAGCCGGGGCCCCTACACTCACAGTGCCCATCCTTGTTCCCACAGGATTCTCAAGCAGTATAGACACCCGAACATTGTGCGGCTCATCGGTGTCTGCACGCAGAAACAGCCCATTTACATTGTCATGGAGCTGGTGCAGGGTGAGCGGCCCCATCCCCGCAGTCCCCACGCACCCACGCGCGGGTGAGCCTGTCAGCGGTGCCTGGCACCCACTGCCTCTGCAATCTGGGCACAGGGGGGGACTTCCTGACCTTCCTGCGCAGTGAGGGTCCCCACCTCCGGGTGAAGGAGCTGGTCAAGATGACGGAGAATGCTGCTGCTGGCATGGAGTACCTGGAGAGCAAGCACTGCATCCACAGGTGGGCCCTGGCAGGACGGGGGGAGCCCTGGAATCCTCACCACCCCACCCTGTGCCAGGGGAAGCCCCAGGGACAGCTGGGCGCACGGCTGATTGCTTGGGGCTGTCTCAGGGACCTGGCTGCTCGCAACTGCCTGGTGACGGAGAGGAACACCCTGAAGATCAGTGATTTTGGGATGTCACGGGAGGAGGAGGATGGCATCTATGCCTCTACAGGAGGGATGAAGCAAATCCCTGTCAAGTGGACGGCCCCTGAAGCACTCAATTATGGTACAGGATGGAGCTGGGCATGGCCTGGCACCCCGCAGCTTATCTGGGCGCCAGGAGTCTGGCACTGTCCCACTCCCACACACCTGGTCCTGGGGAGGGAGGCAGAGACCCCGAGCACCTCAGCCCTCAGGAGCATGGGCACAGCTGGGTAGTGGTGACCTGTGTGTCCCCTGCCAACACCATTTGTCCTGCCCCACGTCCCCAGGCCGATACAGCTCAGAGAGTGATGTCTGGAGCTTTGGGATCCTGCTGTGGGAAGCCTTCAGCCTGGGTGCTGTCCCCTATGCCAACCTCAGCAACCAGCAGACACGGGAGGCAGTGGAGCATGGTAGGGAACATGGCTGGGGCTGGCTCCTGAGAGCCACCATGAGCTGTGGGTCCAGCACTGTGGAGCTGTGCCTGTTGGATGGGCCAGACAGGATTGTGGGGGGTGAGGGGCCAGTGATCCACGTCCCCATCCCTGTTGCCCCAGGTATGCGGCTGGACCCTCCCGAGCAGTGCCCTGAGGAGGTGTACCAGCTGATGCAGCGCTGCTGGGAGTACGACCCCCGCAAGCGGCCCAGCTTCTGCACCATCCACCAGGACCTCATTGCCATCCGCAAGAGGCAGCGGTGACAGGGAGCACCAGGGGCCCTGGATCTATCCCATGGCAGTGCCTGGGGGCACAACAGAGCCCTGTCTGGGCCGCGGGTACTTCGAGGTGGCTGTGTGGTGCTTGAGCCCCAGGGCAGGGGCTCCTGCATACCTCGGGGTGGGACATGGCGCCCACAGCTCCTGCCTGGCTTCATCTTGTACAATAAACACACGAGCTCTGCAGCTGTGCATCTATGATCTGCGAGGGGACACGGACTTGTACTGCACTGGGACATGGCACTGGGAATGGCACTGGGAATGGCACTGTAATGATGCACCAGGACGCGCAGGCAGTGCACCAGCATGGGGTACCAAAAAGAAGTACCAGAATGGGGCACACTTAGATAGGGAAATGGCATGGGGAGTACTGAGACAGAGCACTGGGACAGAGGGCTGGAACGAGACCCTGGGACAGGGTACTAGGATGGGACACCCGGATGGGACACGCGGATGGGGCACACCGGGACAGGGTACCGGGATGGGGCACACCGGGATGGGGCACACCGGGATGGGGACACCGGGATGGGGACACCGGGAGGCCACCGGCATCTCGACTGGGCTGCGGGGCTGTGCGGGGCCGTGCGGGGCCGTGCGGGGCCGTGCAGAGCCGGGCGCGCTCCGCAGCGCTGTGCCGTGCCGTGCCGTGCCGTGCCGTGCCGTGCCGTGCCGTGCCGTGCCGTGCCGTGCCGTGGGGCCGTGCCGTGCCGTGCCGTGCCGTGGGGGCCGTGCAGAGCCGGGCGAGCCCCCGCTCGGTGCCGCCTCCCGGGCCGGGCCGGCGGGCGGAGCGCGGGCGGGGCCTGGCCTGGCCTGGCCCATCCCGGCGGGCCCAGCCGGGCGGTGTGAGGGCCTGGCCGGGCTCGGAGCCGCCCGGGTGCGGACGGGCTGGCGGCGGCGTCGCCGTCGGTGCTGGCCCGGCCTGTCCCGGTCCTGCCCGGCCTGTCCCGGTCCTGCCCGGCCCGGGCCGCCGCCGCGGGGCCTCGGCGCGGCGGGCCCGGCGCTGCCCGGCCCTGCGCGGCCTCCCCGCCCCGGCCCCATCCGCAGATATAAATACCCAGCAAAGGATTAAGCCAAGTAGGACGCGGTGAGGCTCTCGGAGGAGGACGCAGGAGGCCGCGGCGAGAGGCTGCGCTGCCCGACCTGGGTCCCCCCGCAGCCCCGGCCCAGGTGAGTCCCTGCATCCTTTCGGGATGAAGCTGAAGAAGCAGGTGACAGTGTGTGGAGCTGCCATCTTCTGCGTGGCCGTCTTCTCCCTCTACTTGATGCTGGACCGGGTACAGCATGACCCCACACGACACCAGAGTGGGGGCAACTTCCCCAGGGTGAGTTCGGAGGATCTGGGGTGAGTGAGAGTGGTCCTGGGATGGCAAACGGAGACATTCAGTCAGGAAAATTCATGGGGAGCTAGCCCTGGCCTCTGGGCATCAAGGTACCAGGGCCAGGGCTGGCTCCCCACAGCTGTGGGTGACCTCCTGCCCCTCGCTGTGCCCTCTGTGTCCCCAGAGCCAGATCTCGGTGCTGCAGAACCGGATCGAGCAGCTGGAGCAGCTGCTGGAGGAGAACCATGAGATCATCAGCCACATTAAGGACTCAGTGCTGGAGCTGACAGCCCATGCAGAGGGGCAGCCGGCATTGCCCCAACACCCCCTGAATGGCTCCTGGGTGCTCCCCCCTGAGAGTCGCCCAAGTTTCCTCTCTGTGTCCCCGCAAGACTGCCAGTTTGCTCTAGGGGGCAAAGGACAGAGCCCAGACCTGCAGGTGAGGGTCTGGTGGCTCTGCTAGCGTGAGGGGTCCATACCTGGGCATCCATGGAGTCCAGGCTCTACTCTTTCAGGGGTCTCTCAGCACTGTCTCCTAACAACAGATGCTGGCTGTGTACTCCCTGCTGCCGTTTGACAACCAGGATGGTGGTGTCTGGAAGCAGGGCTTTGACATCACCTACGAGCCCAACGAATGGGACACAGAGCCTCTACAGGTGTTTGTGGTGCCACACTCCCACAATGACCCAGGTGAGAAGCAGGGATTAGCCCATTTCCCACTACTATGCAGTGCTGGCAAGCCTGGGCCCCTCACAGTGACCCCCACCTGTGCTGCCAGGCTGGATCAAGACTTTCGACAAGTACTACTACGACCAGACGCAGCACATCCTCAACAGCATGGTGCTGAAGATGCAGGAGGACCCACGCCGGCGCTTCATCTGGTCTGAGATTTCCTTTTTTTCCAAGTGGTGGGACAACATCAGTGCCCAGAAGCAGGCTGCTGTGCGCAGGTAGGGCTGCTCACCTGGCCCCATTGCCCACCTAGCTCCCAGGCAGGCTGAGAGCAGAGGGTGTGTGAGCGAATGGCTCTAGGGACTAGAAGGCTGCCATGGGCCCTGCACTGCTTAGTGTGGGGTGCCCTCAAACTGCCAGCAGCCTCCCAGTGCCATCAGATGTCAGAGCCACTGCCTTGTGGAGTGAGAGGCTGGGAGAGACAGATCTTGCCCTGGGCCCCTCCCTGTGCTAATTGGGCTGGGGAACTTGTGTGCAAGGCCCAGGGCACCCATGGAAGGGTAGGAGACCTGGAGAGCAGGATTGTGTGGTGAGGCAGGATCCCCTTCTCTGCCTCTTGCCCTGAGAGCATTGGAGGACACAGTGGAGGGGGAGTGGGCTGTGGGTGGCATTGGGCTGTGGAGGGATGACTCTGCGTGGGGACAGCATGACAAGGGGGGAATGGCAGTGGCAGCCGTGGGGGCTGCAGGTAGACTGTAGGTGGCTCAGGGCAGGGGGACTCTGCAATGAACATGTGTCTCATGCAGGGCTCTGGTCACATCTTGGGTGTCCCCCTGACAGGCTGGTGGGCAATGGGCAGCTGGAGATGGTGACGGGCGGCTGGGTGATGCCTGATGAGGCTAATTCCCACTACTTCGCCATGATTGACCAGCTGATTGAGGGGCACCAGTGGCTGGAGAAGAACATTGGTGAGGGCCAGGCAAATGGTGGCTGGGGGCCTGTCTAATGTGCTGCAGGCCCCCAGGTCCTGCCAGCACCCTCCTCACGGGAAGTGCTGCTGGCCCAGCATGGGGCTGACGGGTCTCTGTGCCCCCAGGTGTGACGCCGCGGTCAGGCTGGGCTGTAGACCCCTTCGGGTACAGCTCCACCATGCCCTACCTGCTGAAGCGCTCCAACCTGACGGCCATGCTCATCCAGCGCGTGCACTATGCCATCAAGAAGCACTTTGCTGCCACCCAGAACCTGGAGTTCATGTGGAGACAGGCGTGGGGTGAGGGGCTGCCGGGAGGGGACTGCAGAGAGGACTGCACGGTGGGGCAGGTGGCAGCAGAGAATGGCTACCAGCTGCTTTTCTGTGCAGATGAGCCAAGCACTGGTAGGCGATGTCTCTGCCCTGTGGGACAACCTCAGGGTGACTTTCCACCTGCCCCCAAGTCCAGCAACACACTGGGGGAGGCTGCTGTGCCCTCTAACCTCTGAGATCTGCTCTGTCAAACTACTGATTTTGGGCCCCCCTGCTTAGGGACAGGCAAGGGAGAGCCATTGCTGGTGCTCACCTGTCCTTGGTCCCACAGATCCAGACGCGAGCACTGACATCTTCTGCCACATGATGCCCTTCTACAGCTATGATGTGCCTCACACCTGTGGCCCAGACCCCAAGATCTGCTGCCAGTTTGACTTCAAGCGCTTGCCTGGAGGCCGGATCAACTGCCCCTGGAAGGTGCCTCCCCGCGCCATCACTGATGCAAACGTGGCAGAGCGGTGAGTGGGGCAGGGGCACGCGACTCCCAGCCTTGTGTGGGCCATCAGGGGCCAGCCTCATGCCCTGGCCCCCACACAGAGCCCAGCTGCTGCTGGACCAGTACCGCAAGAAGTCCAAGCTGTACCGCAGCAAGGTGCTGCTGGTGCCCCTGGGAGATGACTTCCGCTATGACAAGCCACAGGAGTGGGATGCCCAGTTCCTCAACTACCAGCGCATCTTTGACTTTCTCAACTCTCGGCCTGACCTCCATGTGCAGGTATGTGTGGAGAGCTCTGTGGAGCTGGGGGCAGCAGGAGGCTGCAGCAGAGCACAGTTGGAGGGGTGAGCAGTCCTGTGAGGGGTGATAAGAGCCCCCACTGCAGGAGCGCCGGCTCAGGACTGCACATGCTGTCTTGCAGGCACAGTTTGGCACGCTCTCTGATTACTTTGATGCCCTGTACAAGAAAGTGGGCATTGTGCCGGGGATGAGGCCACCCGGGTTCCCAGTTCTGACTGGGGATTTCTTCTCCTATGCGGACCGGGAGGATCACTACTGGACAGGATACTTCACCTCCCGGCCATTCTACAAGAGCCTGGACCGGGTGCTGGAGGCCCACCTCCGGTGAGGGGCGTGGGGCTGGTCCATGGGGCACAGGAGGTGTGTTAGGGGCACGGGTGAGGGGTGGCCAGGCAGTATGGGAGCTCGATAGCCCCTGGTCTGTCCCAACTGCCAACACACAGTGCCAAACCCTCACCCAGTCCCAGGGCAGTGTGTGCCTTTGCCACCCCTCCTCCCAGGGCAGCCCCCCAGTATTGTACAACAGGGTAGGGACCCTCAGTGACTCTGTCCCTGTGCAGGGGGGCAGAGATCCTGTACAGCCTGGCACTCGCCCACGCCCGCCATGCCGGTGCAGATGGCAGGTACCCGCTCTCTGACTACGCCTTGCTGAGCAACGCCCGCCGCAACCTGGGCCTCTTCCAGCACCACGATGCCATCGCTGGCACCGCCAAGGAGGCTGTGGCCGTGGACTATGGAGTCCGGTGCGTGTGGGGGCCAGGGCGCCCTCAGAGCCTGTCTCAGAGTGGGGCTGGTGGGCTCAGGGCTGGGAGACTGGTTAGGTATGGGGATGCTGTGGGGAGGTTCTCCCTCATGGAAGGATGTAGAGGGTGGTGGGGCAGTCCTGAGCCGATGGGGCTGATGGTCCCAGATGACTCACTCTGCCTCTGCCTAGGCTGCTCCACTCCCTCACCAACCTCAAGCGCGTCATCATCAATGCTGCGCACTACCTTGTGCTGGGGGACAAGGACACCTACCACCACGACCCGGCTGCACCGTTCCTTGGCATGGTGAGCAGCACCAGCTCCTGGCTCCCTGCAGTCTGGCACCCTGTCCCCCATGCCCCCGGGAGCAACTCTGTACTGCAGAGGCCAGGAAGATGGCCCCAGATTGTGCCCATGTCCTTGGGCCCAACTGGCAGGGGCGTTGGGCACACCCCAGCTCTTTATTACTCCTCCCCAGGATGAGACACGCTCCAGCCAGGACTCTCTCCCAGAGAGGACAGTGGTCAAACTGGGCACCTCACCTCGGTAGGGCCTCCTGCCTTGTTCTGGGGACTTACGGGACTGTGGGGAGACCTGTGAAGCTGTGGGTAGGGGCAGTAGATCTGTAGGTAGTGTGGAACATGGGACATCTGGGATGCCATCCCTGTGTTACCCCCCACAGGTTCCTGGTGGTGTTCAACCCGCTGGAGCAGGAGCGCTTGAGCGTGGTGCCAGTACTGGTGGACTCCCCTCACGTGCGAGTGCTCTCCGAGGAGGGGCAGCCCCTGCCCTCCCAGCTCAGTGCAGTGTGGAACTCTGCCACTGATGTGGTGCCCAATGTCTACCAGGTATGGGGTGCCCCACAGCCCATCTGTGCCAGCCTCCCATCCCGCACACTGCCAGGACACACCGGCAGCCCTGCTCTGTCCCTGCCCCACAACATGAGATCCCACAGCTGTCGATCCCCCAGGTCCCCATGCATGTCCCTCCTCAGCAGAAGCCCCACAGTGCTGAGCAGGGTCTTTGCCCCACTGACCCCCAGTCATTCCCTAGACACGGGGGCTGGCTCAGGTCTCCATGCTGCCTGCAGGTGTCTGTCCTGGCCCGCCTGCCTGCACTGGGGCTGCGCGTGCTGCAGCTGCACAAGTCCTCGGATGGCCACGCCACGCCAAGGTCCTCCACGCGCCTCTACCTGCATGGCCGGGACATGGCCGTGCACAAGCCCGAGGCTGTGCCCCTGCACGTCTTCCCAGCTGCTGCTGCTGACTTCTGCCTGGAGAACCAGCACCTGCAGGCCTGCTTTGTGGGGCGCACGGGCCTGCTGCAGGTGAGTGCAGGGCTCTGACAGGACGTGGGCTGGAGGAGAGGAGGGGTAAATCCCGCTGCTTCATGCTCTTACTGTTGTGCTGGCACACACCTGCAGAGCCTGCGCCCAGCTGGGGAGGAGCAGGCGCACAGGGTGAGCAGCGAATTTCTCGTCTATGGCACCAGGACCTCCAAGGACAAAAGTGGGGCCTATCTCTTCCTGCCTGATGGCGAGGCCAAGGTACAGAGTCCACCCATGGAAGGCAGCTGACAGCTGTGCCTGTAGGTCCTCAGGCACCAGCATCAGCGCAGATATCCCTCTCCCCAGCCCTACGCTCCCAAGGACCCCCCAGTGGTGCGGGTGATGGAGGGACCGCTCTTCTCAGAAGTTGCCAGCTACTACCAGCATGTCCAGACCGTGGTGCGGCTGTACAACGTGCCAGGTGAGATCTTGAGGCTGTGCCAGGTGTCGCTGCCCCAGGGAACTGGGCCATGCTGCCCTTGGGACTCAGCCTCTCACTGCCTACCTGCAGGGGTGGAGGGCCTGTCCCTGGATGTGTCCTGCCTGGTGGACATCCGTGACCACATCAACAAGGAGCTGGCCCTGCGCTTTAGCACTGACATTGAGAGTGATGACACCTTCTTCACTGACCTCAATGGTTTCCAGGTATGCAGCAGGCTGGGGAGGGGCAGCAGCTGCCCAGAGGGGGACAGTGCTCTGGCACCAGGCACTGTGGGATCCACCTCTGGTCACTGGTCTGTGTCCCTTGGCAGATCCAGCCCCGCAGGTACCAGCAGAAGCTGCCACTGCAGGCCAACTTCTACCCGATGCCTGCCATGGCCTACATCCAGGACATGCAGAGCCGCCTGACACTGCTCACAGCCCAGGCCTTAGGGGTCACCAGCCTCCACAGCGGTGAGCTGGGCTCTGTGCCTTGGGCACCTGCTGTAGAGCTTGGGCTGTCCTCCCCAAGGGAAGGAGGGTGCTGGTGGCTGGGCAGGATGCCCTGCTCCTACTGTCACTGGGGGCTCTGTGCTGTGGGGTGTGGCTGGCGCCTGGTAAAGCCTGGGCTGCAGGGACTTGCTCTCCACAGGCCAGCTGGAGGTGATCCTGGACCGGCGCCTCATGCAGGATGACAACCGGGGCCTGGGCCAGGGGCTGAAGGACAACAAGCGTACCTGCAACCGGTTCCGGCTCCTCCTGGAGCGCCGCAGCACTGCCAACAAGGTGCTGGCTGTGAGGCGGCAGGACGGGAGAGCCCGGCCCTGCCTTGGGATGGAGCAGGGTGGAGGCATTTGCAGAAAGCTACATGAGATGGGATGCAGTGTCCTGTCCCCTCTTGTCCCCTTGTGCTGGCACTGGGCAGGGATGGGCCTGGAGCAGGGGGCATGGGGAGAGCAGGACGTGCAGTGGGTCTGTCCCTGTGGAGCCACGTTGCCCTCATAATCACAGTGTTCTTGTCCAATCCCCTCGCTGCCCTCTATGCGTGTGCTGTGCCACCCATCCAGAGCTCCGGCTTCTTTTCCAAACTGATCTCCATGTTTAAAGCCTTGAGCTTCCCTGGCACCAGGACTGGCAGCCCTGAGGTAATGGCCAGCCTGGCCCTGCTGTCTCTCCCTGTCTTGTGCACTAGCTGCTAGGCACTAGTCTAGCCAGGCTTGTAGCAGGTCTGTAGCCTGACCATCAGCTAGCTGGGGTCCTGTTTGGGTGCTGGGGCGGGGGGCCTGCCTGGGCAGGGGCAGCTCTGCGTACACTGTGCTGGCAGGTGCCTGGTCTCAAGGCACTGCTGGAATGGAGGTTCTTTGGGCCTTGCCCAGGCTCTGCCTCGCTTTCTGAGCCCACACTTGACCTATGTGCTGCTTGGCAGGTGCAGGACGAGCGCCCCATCAGCTTCCCCTCCCTGCTGAGCCACATCACCTCCGTGCACCAGAATGCCGAGGCCTTGGTCATGCCAGTGGCATTGGAGAAGCCAGCGCTGCCAGCCCTGCGCTCCTTTGTGCCCCTTGCCACCACCCTTCCTTGCGACTTCCACATCCTCAACCTGCGAATGCTGCAGGCAGAGGTGAGCTAGGGCCTGGGGCGGTGGGACTCTGGTGGGGGTCCGGCCCCTGCTGCCCCCCGTGCTGTGCCTGACGCTCCAGCTCCCTGCAGGACGAATCACTGCCCTCAGCTGAGGCAGCGCTGATCCTGCACCGCAAAGGCTTTGACTGCAGCCTGGAGGCCAAGAACCTGGGCTTCAACTGCACCACCAGCCAGGGCAAGGTAGGGCCAGGCTGCCCCCACACCTCCGCTGGGTCAGGGCTGGGCTGGGACCTCGACATGGCAGTCATGGCACCTGTCAGGCTGTCCTGGGCACAGTGCTGCCCCAGGCATCACATCGCTTCCTCCTCTCTCCCCAGCTAGCTCTGGGAGGCCTGTTCCAGGGCTTGGAGCTGGGCTCCCTGCAGCCCACCTCATTGACACTGATGTACCCGCTGGGCACAGCCTCCAACAGCACCAACATCCATCTGGACCCCATGGAAATTGCTACGTTCCGCATCCGCCTGGGGTAGTGTCAAGCAGGAGAGGAGTGGAGTGGCTGGACAGCACAGGAGCAGCACCAGTGCAGCAGTGGAGTGGGGCCAGCAGTACTGTGACGGGCACGGGCAGGAGGGGCCAGACTGGCACAGGCTGCTGCTGCCACTTCCTAATTTATTAGTTCCATGTTCTCAGATGGATTTTGGACTGACTGCTGTGGCAGGGCTGGACCAGGCGTTGCTGGATGTGGCGCCGGATGGGCCGAGCGTGGCTGGGGCGGGCTGCAGGCTGGGCTCTGCTGCTGCTGGTGGGACAGACACTGCTGCCCTGTCACAGGCAGGCTGTCCAGGAGGGCAGACACTCTGATGGCTGGGGCAGGGGCCCCTGCAGGGCTGCCCCTGCATGGTGGGGCAGCAAGGGGAGGCCAGGAGCACCGGTGGTGTTGGGCAGCTGCCTGAGGAAGTGCTGTGGACTGGGGACTGACCTCTCCTGGAGCTCATAGGAAACACAAGGCTGTTTCCAAGGGCCCTGGTGTATGTGTGATTTGTGGCTCTCACTCGGGAGTGGGAATGGTGTGCTGTGGGGAGACAGGGCCTCTGAGGCAGGCGGAGGCCAGCTTGAAGGTCTGGCCAGGCACCTGTGAGAGTCTGGTGGCATGGCCAGGCCCAGCTGAGCTTGGAGGCAAGCAGTGCCTGGTGCTGGGCAGGAGCTAGGGGGATGGGAGTCAGTTCCTTGTGCGGGCAGCAGTGCCTGGGTGAAGCGTGGGAGTGCCTCCCCCAAACTCAGAGCCTTTAGCCCCTTTACAGAGTGAGCCTGGCGGTCTGCTCTGCTGGGGCTGCAGCGGCTGAGTCGCAGCTAATTGCACCATATCACCAGAGCATCCTCCTGGTTGCTGTGGGAACCACAGGTCATACTTCCTGGCCCCTTGGGGCTACTTACTCCCAACGGGTGCCAGCAGGGAGGGCATTGGGAAGGACTGGGTGAGGTGGGGAACTGCCTCAGCTCTGGCTTGGTTGGGTTGGACTGGATGAGCTTAGAGGTTTTCTCCAACCGAAATGATTCTGTGATTCCACAATTCCTGCACAACCCCCATCACATCCACATCCCATGGATTTGGCCCCTGGAAGCTCAGCACCTCACAGCACTTTCCCTGTGCCTTGGCCTGGTGCAGTGCCCTTTCAGGGACTCCCAGGATGGGCCCATGTGCCCAGGTGGGGCTCTGGACACAGCAGCTGGTGCCTTGCATCCAGCTGGGAAAGGAGCCTGCTGTCCTGCTCCTGGCCCCAGAAGCTCATTAGTGATGCTCCCGCCCCCAGCACGGTCCCTGTGGGCAGAGTGAGTGCAGGAGGCTCTAATGGCTCTGAGCGGCTCTTGGTGGAGGCTGTGATGGAGGCGGGAGCAGGAGGGGCTGTGGTTTCTGCCTCCACTGGAGCCAGAACTGCCTCTGCCCAGGGCTGGCCGGGAAGATGCTGGACGGGCACCTGCTCCAGCTGCTCCTTACCGCGGCTCTGTTCCCCAGCATCCTTGGGACAGGTACAGCCCCATTCCTGCCCCTCCTATTCCCTGAACCCATCCCTGATGGGGCCTTGTCCCTTGAGGGTTGCTCCCCGACAGCCCAGAACAGAGGCTGGGGGTCTGTGCTGGGAGGCAGTGGTGTGCAGTGAGAGGTGGTGGGCCGTACTGGGGATGGTGGCCCAGGTGTGGTGGTGCTGGGGTTACTCCTGCTGCAACACATCTGTGGTGTCTTAAGTGCTGTTCCCACAGGGTCACAGGGAGGGGTTCAGCACGGGGGCTGGGGGCTGACCTGATGTCCTGGGCGCTTTCCCCTCCTCTGCCACCAGCACCGCCCCTGCCCACGTTTGCCCTTGCCGAGGCCAAGGTGAGCACCGGAGGTCACAGCATACACAGGGCCATGGCACCAGAAGGCAGTGCCAGGGGAGCTCTGCTCTGCCACTGCTGCCTCGTGGGGTGTAGCCTGCTCTGAGGGCCGAGCGGGTAGCCCTGTGGCACATTAGCCAGGCTCCCCGGGGCTGGGGAGCCCTCAGCCCAGCCCTGCCGGGACTGGGAGTCCCTGCTCTGCTGCATCACGGCAAAGAGCATGTCGCTGGAGCCTGTCCTACAGGCGCTGCACAGTTCCCGTGTTCTCCTTCCCTGCCCTCCTCAATGCCTGCTCCCCGCTGCAGTCTCGGTGCAGAACCTGCACCTCTGCGAGGGCTACGTGGGCCCTGACGGCCGCTCCCACCCCGGCTTCTACTGCCCGCGGCTGACCGACCCCCCCGGCCACCGCTACTGCTGCCAGCCCAGCCTGGACGCTCTCAAGTCCTGCTGCTCTCAAGTGGCCCTGGAAGCCCTCACTGGAGTGAACCTCTCCAGCCTGGCTGGCCCTGGTCTACTCCGGTGAGCAGGGCGGCAAGTGGCCATGCTGCTGAGGATGGGGGCCCTGGGGACTCCTGGCACACCCGCGGGGGCTTCTCCTGGTTGCTGGGGCAGGGGCTGTGGTATCCTTTGAAGCCCTCAGGGGGCCCCGGGTGGCCCTCCCCAGTACCACTGCGCCGTGGGAGGGTCACGGCTGCCCCTCCTGAAGTGCCCCACCCTGCAGGAACCCGCTGGCCCTGCCTTTCGTGGGGCTCTATGGGCTCCTTGTCCTGCTGCTTATGGCCATCGACCTCTGCCACTTCTACTGGAGCCGACGGTGCCGCCTCAGCCGCCTGCTGCCCCGTGCCTGCCGTGTGCCCCGTGGGTCCCCGCGGGGTCACCCGCCCGCCGCCCGCCCTGCCCACCGCGGCCCCCGAGGGACGCGCCCCAGCCAGGGCTGCTGAGGGGCGGCCACGGGCAGGGCAGGGCTGTGCACAGGGGGGACTGCACCTGTGGGACGGGGGTTCACTCTCATCCCGGGGTGCAGCAGGGGGGGTGTGGGGGGGACACTCGATCTGCGGGGCTCAGTACGGGGTTAAGTACGGGGGACACTCGCTCTCCGGGGTTAAGTACGGGGGGGACACTCGCTCTCCGGGGTTAAGTACGGGGGGGGGGACACTCGCTCTCCGGGGTTAAGTACGGGGGCTGTACCGGGGACACTCGGTCTCCGGGGCTAAGTACGGGGTCTGTAGCGGGGACACTCGCTCTCCGGGGCTAAGTTCGGGGGCTGTAGCGGGGACACTCGCACTCCGGGTGCAGCGTGGCGGGGGATGCGTGGCGGGAACTCGCGGAGACACACACCGGGCTGCCGCCGGTCGGTGCTGGCACCTCCGGGCCGCGGGGCGGCGCTGCAGGCTCGGCCCGCCCCCCTCCGGCCGCGCCCCGTCACGTGACAGGGGCGGTGGCGTCCGGGTTCCCCGGGCGATCGGCGGTGACGTCACGGGCGTGGCGCGATGGAGGAGCCGGTGAGCAGCGCCGGGCGGGTCCGTCCCGGGGCCCTGTCCCGGGGGTTCCTGTCCCGGGGGGTTCCTGTCCCAGGGTCCCTGTCCCGGGGGGTTCCTGTCCCGGGGTCCCTGTCTCCGGGTCCCTGTCCCGGGGGGTTCCTGTCCCGGGGGCCCTGTCCCGGGAGTCCCTGTCCCGGGAGTCCCTGTCCCGGGGGCCCTGTCCCGGGAGTCCCTGTCCCGGAGTCCCTGTCCCGGGGTCCCTGTCCCGGGAGTCTCTGTCCCGGGGGGTTCCTGTCCCGGGGGTCCCTGTCCTGGGAGTCCCTGTCCCGGGGTCCCTGTCCCGGGGGGTTCCTGTCCCGGGGTCCCTGTTCCGGGAGTCTCTGTCCCGGGGGGTCCCTGTCTCCGGGTTCCTGTCCCGGGGGCCCTGTCCCGGGAGTCCCTGTCCCGGAGTCCCTGTCCCGGGGGCCCTGTCCCGGGATCCCTGTCCCGGGGTCCCTGTCCCGGGGGTCCCTGTCCCTGGGAGTCCCTGTCCCTGGGGGTTCTTATCTCCGGGGTCCCTGTCCCTCGGGGTCCCTGTCCCGGGGTCCCTGTCCCGGGAGTCCCTGTCCCGGAGTCCCTGTCCCTCGGAGTCCCTGTCCCGGGGTCCCTGTCCCGGGTCCGTGCGGGCCCGGGGCTGTGTCCCAGCCGGTTCCCCTCGGCAGGTGACGGCGGAGCAGCTTCGGGCGCGGGGTAACGCGCTGTTCCAGGCGGGGGATCACGGGGCCGCCCTCGCTGCCTACACGGAGGCTTTGAGCCTGAGCGACGCCGCGTCCGAGCGCGCCGTGCTGCACCGAAACCGCGCCGCGTGTTACCTGAAGCTGGTGAGCGCGGGCGGGTGCGTCCCTGCGGCCTGCAGGAACCTGCCCGGCTGGCTGGGGCTGTTCTCAGGCAGTCACAGTGTCTCTGATCTCTTGCAGGGAATCTTTGTCTGGGGCAGGGGGTGAACACGAGGAACTATAGGGGCTTGAGGAGACCCAGAAGTGCCTGAAAAGCACTGGGGGCCGTAGGGCTCCCTGGACACCTTCTGAGGGTTGTACTCTGGGAAAGACAGGGTGGGAAAGACACTGTGCTGGCTCCCTGACTCCAGTAACGCTGTTTGCATCCTGTCCCCAGTCCCCAGAGTTAGGGGTGTAGGCTGCGTGGGGCTTGCGCCAGCAGTGCTCAGGCGTTTTTCTCTCCTGTCTCTCCACAGGAGGATTACGCCAAGGCGGAGGCTGATGCAACTAAAGGTACTGTCCGTGGGGCTGGGGGGACAGCCCCTGAACTGCCCGTGGGGGCAGGCCCCGGGCTGTGCCACTGACCCCTTGTGCGCAGCCATCGAGGCTGACGGCCGCGATGTGAAGGCGCTGTTCCGCCGCAGCCAGGCGCTGCAGCAGCTGGGCCGCCTGGACCAGGCCGTCAGGGACCTGCAGCGCTGCGTCAGCCTGGAGCCCAGGAACAAGGCCTTCCAGGAGGCCCTGCGCGCCCTGGGCAGCAGCATGCACGACAAGGTCGGCAGGGGGGCACTGGGGGTGCCGGCCCGCTGTGGCTGTGGGCGGCAGGAGAAGCTGGGGAGGACTGAGCCGCTCTTTCTGCTCTGTTGCAGATGAAGGCCATGTCCTGCACGGACTCGAAAGTAGAGCAGATGTTCCAGATCTTGCTGGATCTTGAAGAAAAGGATGCGGACAAGAAGCAGAAAGTCTGAGCTCAGGGAGCGGGGCGCAGTGCTGTGGCTGGGAGGAGAGGAGGGGGAGGATTGTTGCCCCTGGGCCAGCGGTGGCTGAGTGGTGCTGCCTGGGCTTGCCCTTGCCCCCCTCAGAATGCTCCCCAAGACAGGGCCGGAGGGTGGGTGCCTGCAGCTGCTAGCAGTTCCTGGTGCACAGCGTGCTGCCGTGACCCAGACAGAACTCTCCTTCCCCAGGCTGCGCAGAACTTGATCGTGCTGGCACGAGAAGAGGCTGGAGCAGAGAAGATCTTCCAGAGTGACGGTGTCCGGCTGCTGCTGCAGCTGCTGGACACGGCCAAGGCTGACCTGATGCTGGCAGCCCTGCGCACACTGGTGGGACTGTGCTCCGGCCACCGCTCTCGTGTAGGTGCCACCACACCCCATGGCTGGGCCCAGGGGAAAGCTGGGGAGGCTGCAGAGTGTCAGACAGGGGAGCGCTGAGCTGTTACCTGCCAGGCCTGAACTTGTGAGAGGAAGCCATCCTGATAAGGGGCGGGGAAAGGGACAGGCTTCCCCAAGGCCTGCGGAAGACAGGTGTGCTTGTACCTGCAGACCACGGCCATCTTGGCAGAACTGGGGGCACCCCGTCTTGCAGCGGTGTTGGGAGTGGAGCATGAGCAGGTGTCCCTGGCTGCCTGCAACCTGCTGCACGTGGTGTTCGACTCCCTGAAGGAGGGGCTGCAGAAAGACTTCCGCGGGAAGGAGGATGCAGTGGTGCTGGGTGAGTATGGGCTGCCCTGGCTGGCTGTTGTACAGGGAGAGATGCAGGTAGGTGCAGAGGTGCCATGGGGTTTTTTGCTGCTGCCCTGTCACTGCTCCCTGCAGCAAAGCTGGGCTCTGATGCAGGGTTAACAGGAGGCAGAAGCCCCTGCTCATGGCAGCATCTCTGCCAGTTGTGCCGCGGTGAGGGTGAGGCTGTGCCCAGGGTGCTGACTGCTGGGGGCTGTCTTTTTTGGAAGATTCCTCCAGGGACCTGAAATTGCTGATCAAGCACCTCCTGGAGCTGCTAGTGGTGGAAGGGGCCTCAGCACATGGCCGTGACAACGCCCTCAACCTGCTCATCAAGGTGGTGCCCAGGAAGTCACCAAAGGAGACCAACAACAGCCTGAGCCTCTGGGTGATTGATCAGGGTTAGTGGAATAGCTAGCAATGTCCTGCTGGGGCATCGTGCTCCTCTGCCCCAGGTCTGCTCATGCCACTGCGCCCCTCACTGGGCTGTCTGACCTTTCCCAGGCCTAAAGAAGATCCTAGAGGTGGGCAGCACAGTGTGCGGCAGCGCGGGCAGCCTGCCTGTGACAGAGAACAGCCGGATGAGCGCCTCTGTTCTGCTGAGCAAACTGTATGAGGACCTGAAGTGTGATGCTGAGAGGGAAAACTTCCACCGTCTGTGTGAGGACTATGTGAGGTGAGCCAGGGTGTCCTGGGAGTGACGGGGGTTTTGTCACCTGCAGCCTGGCAGCACCTGTCACCCTCAGTGCTAAAGCTGACTGGGGACCTGCCGGGGGGGGGTCAGCAGGTGGGGCAGGAAGAAGCAGGTGTATCATCCTGACCCTTTCTGGTGGTTTTTCCCTGAAGGAGCTGGTTCGAGGGGCACGAGCTGCCGGGAAAGCTGCGGGCCATTCAGACAGTGTCGTGCCTGCTGCAGGGTCCCTCAGATGCAGGGAACAGGGTGCTCGAGCTGGAGGGGATCATGGACAGTGTGCTGTCCCTCTGCGCCTCTGTCCGCGAGGCCCACCAGCTGGTAGCAGTGGAGGCGCTGATCCACGCGGCCGACAAGGCCAAGCGCGCCTCCTTCATCACGGCCAATGGCGTCAACCTGCTCAAGGAGATCTACAAGCACAGCGAGAGGGACAGCATCCGCATCCGTGCCCTCGTGGTGAGCACGGTGGGACAGGGTGAGACAGGGCTGAGCCCTAGGGTGGGCTGTGGGTGCGGGACCACTGCTCACAGCGCTGCTCCCCACTGCTGTGGGTCCAGGAGACACATCAGGTTGCCACATTCATTCGTGCTCCCACACTTCTGTTCCTGCCTGCAGGGGCTCTGCAAGCTGGGATCTGCTGGAGGCACGGACTTCAGCATGAAGCAGTTTGCCGAGGGATCCACCATGAAGCTGGCCAAGCAGTGCCGCAAGTGAGCGGGGCCAGGTGTGGGGGTGTCAGGTGGGCAGGGTGCCCCACAGCTGGGATCCCTGCAGCTGGGCTGTCCGCAGCCCCCACAGCCAGGCTCAGGGACCCCTCTCCCAGGTGGCTCTGCAACGAGGCGATCGACGCGAGCACGCGGCGCTGGGCTGTCGAGGGCCTGGCCTACCTCACCTTCGATGCGGATGTCAAGGAGGAGTTTGTGGAGGACAAGGCAGCAATGCAGGCCATGTTCCAGCTGGCCAAGGTGCATACCAAGAGCTGTGGGATGGGCACCCTGGCACCAGGGAAATGTGCTGGAGCAGGTGTGGGGCTCATGCTCTGGGGGGGATGTGTGGGACAAGCTGGTGGGCTGCAGTCCTGGCTGCTCCTTCCTGCTGTGAGTGTGACAGGTGCCCATTGTCGCCACAGTCAGAGGACAGGAGTGTGCTCTATGCTGTTGCCTCCACGCTGGTGAACTGCACCAACAGCTATGACCACGAGGAGCCGGACCCACAGATGCTGGAGCTGGCCAAGTATGCCAAACAGCACATCCCGGAGCAGCACCCCAAGGTGAGCAGGGCATGGCTGTGCTTAGGGGGAGAGTGGGTGGGTGGGTGTGAGACAGCCTGGGGTCCAGGTGGGGACACGGTGTCCTTGAGGCCCACAGGGGTGGGGTCGGGCACCTCACCAGGTGCTGTTGCTCCTGAGCCAAGTGTGACCCTGCCTGTGGGACAGGACAAGCCAGAGTTTGTGAAGCGGCGGGTGCGGAAGCTGCTGGTGGCTGGAGTGGTGTCGGCTCTGGCCTGCATGGTGAAGAGCGAGAACCCAGCGCTCACCAGCTCCTGCCGGGAGCTGATCTCCAGGTGCGGCCTGCCGGGGACAGGAGGGAGCTGGGTTCCCAGGCTGCTGGCATCCTGTTGGTGAACTTACGTGCCTGAGGTGAAGGCCAGCTCCTGGACAGTAGGGGGGATGTCCAGGAGTCTGGTGCAGCCTGGGCCCATTGTGACTATCAAAGTGCTGCAGCAAGTCCCACTTGGTCCCTAGAGTGTTCCTGGCACTGGTGGAAGAGGCAGAAGACCGGGGTGGTGTGGTTGCTCAGGGAGGAGGCAAGGTGAGAGTATGGACCCCACTGTGCTCCTGGGGTGCTGGGGCTTGGGTGAGCTGGGGCTCCGTGGTTCAGCAGGGCTGCACTGGCTCCCTTGGACATGAGGCTGGGGAAGGCTGTGGCTGCCCTGGGTGCTGTGGCCTTGGCTGCAGGACAAGCTGCATTTTCTACCCCCAGGCTCTGATCCCACTGTCCCTGGAGGGCACTGAGGTGGGGCAGACCAAGGCAGCGCAGGCCCTAGCAAAGATCACCATCACCTCCAACCCGGAGATGGCATTCCCTGGGGAGCGGGTGAGTGCTGGGGCTGGGGGCTGGGTCTGCCAGGCAGGGGCTCAGGTGGGAGCAGCAGTAGGCATTGACTCAGTCCCCTGTGTTGTTTCTCCACAGATCTATGAGGTGGTGCGGCCCCTGGTCAGCCTCCTGCACCTGCAGCGCACGGGCCTGGAGAACTTCGAGGGGCTGATGGCCTTGACCAACCTGGCTGGCATCAGCGAGAGGCTGCGGTAGGGGTGGGGGAAGAGGGCAGCTGGCTGTCCCCTTGGGCCTGGCAGGCTGCCCTGGGCAGGGGCACTCACTGCCCACTTGCCTCCCAGGCAGAAGATCCTGAAAGAGCGGGCTGTGCCCATGATTGAGGGGTACATGTTTGAGGAACACGAGCTGATCCGGCTAGCTGCAACTGAGTGCATGTGCAACATGGCCATGAGCAAGGAGGTGAAGGCCGGGATGGGCTGGGGTCTGTGCTGGACTGCTGGACTACCACACCCCCCTGATCCCTCCTCTTTCCCCTGTGCAGGTGCAGGAGATGTTCCTGGCTGAGGGCAGCGACCGGCTGAAGTTGATGGTCCTGTACAGTGGGGAGGAGGATGAGAAGCTGCGGCGGGCAGCCTCGGGAACCCTGGCCATGCTGACTACCCTGCATCCCCCCATCTGCAAGCGGATTCCCCAGGTGGTGAGTGCACCCTAACACAGTACCCTCTGTCTCATATTCCCTCCCCAGGGTGGGAGCTCTGGCCCCAGAAGACAGGGAAACTTGGGCCCAACTCTGAGATGGGTCCGTAGGGGGGGAGCTGGGACCCTTCTCCTGGGGTCTATGATGATGTTGGCCCCACTCCCCTGCAGACGGTACACTGGCTGGAGATCCTGCAGGCCCTGCTGCTGAGCCCCAGTGCGGAGCTGCAGCACCGTGGTGCTGTGGTGGTGATGAACATGATGGCAGCCGCTCGGGAGGTGGCCGAGCAGCTCATCGCCAGCGAGATGCTGGAGATCCTCTCTGTGCTTGCCAAGGACAAGGACAAGCCGCGGGTGGCCCAGGCGGCCCAGGAGAGCCTGGCACACGCAGTGGCTCACGGCCTCATCAAGCCCAACCCCGAGCATGCCTGAGAGCCCCGGGGCTCCCTCACTGCTGCACACGCTGCCGAGGCCGGAGCTCACACGCTGCTCTCAGGCCGGCCCTGGCGGGCCTGGCCGCACGCGGAGCTGGCTCAGCACGGCCCGGGGCCGGGGCCACGCTGCCCCCGGCGGCGCCCGCCCGGTGCCCGGGCCGAGGGGGAGGACAGGGCTTGCCGCTGCCTTTGCCACCGTCTGCCTTAGCCGGGAGGGCCGAGCCGGGGCGGGAGCGGCGCGGCGGAGCCAGCCCCCCCGGTAACACTAAAGCTGCTCTTGGACCACGGCCCGGTCTCCGTCTGTCCGTCCGCCCCTCGCCGTCACCTCCGGCCCCTCCTCTGCCGGTGCCGCCCCAGCCATGGCGGCGCCCGCCGGCGTCTGGCTCGCGTTCGGCTTCAGCCCCGAGGAGGCGGCCGGGGAGCCGGGCCCGGGCCCGGGCCCGTGGCGGCTGGAGGCGGGCCCCGAGGGGATCTCCCGCGTGTGGCCCGCCTGGAGCTACGTGGTCGTGGAGACCGGTGAGCGCCGCCGGCCCGCCCGGGGCCCCGGTCCCGTCCCTCCCGCGGGGCCGGAGCGGCTCTTGGCCGGCCCGTGCCCGCTTCCCTCGGGATGGCGGGTCCCCTTCCCACCGTGCGCGGCCGCGCGGGTCTCCCTGGTTCGTCTTGTCCGCCCCTTCCCCCGGGATGGGAACCCCCAGCCCTGCTCCCCGCCGGTTCCCCCGGGCTGCTCCCCGCCGGTTCCCCCGGTGACGGTCCCGTCCCGTGTCCCCAGACCCCGCGCTGTCCCGTCCCGTGCCCCCGGACCCCGCGCTATCACCGTCCCATGCCCCCGGACCCCGCGCTGTCCCTGTCCCGTTCCCCCCGACCCCGCGCTGTCCCGTCCCGTGTCCCCGGACACCGCGCTGTCCCGTCCCGTTCCCCCGGACCCCGCGTTGTCCCCGTCCCGGACCCCCGGACCCCGCGCTGTCCCGTCCCGTGCCCCCGGACCCCGCGCTGTCCCCGTCCCGTGCCCCCCGACCCCGCGCTGTCCCCGTCCCGTGCCCCCGGACCCCGCGCTGTCCCCGTCCCGTGCCCCCGGACCCCGCGCTGCCCCGCGGGTCGCTGAGGTGCCGCCGCGGCAGGCGCGGGGCTGGAGGTGCGGAGCGCGGGGCAGCGGCGGCGGCTGCCGGGCTGGGCCGAGGCGCTGCCGTCCGAGACGCACCTGGTGCTGCGGGGCGCGGCGGCGGCCGGGGCCTGGCGGCGGGCGGCGGCGCTGAGCGGGGCGCTGCGGGACGGGCCCGCCTGGAGCCGCGCGCTGCCGCCGCAGCCCCGCCACCCGCTGCCGCTGCCGCTGCTGCCCGGCGGCTTCGCCACGCCGCGGCCGCCCTTCTTCACCGCGCTGCCGGCCGGCCTGCGGGCCCGGCGGCTGGTCCTGGGCACGGAGCACGCCCTCGCACTCGGCGCCGCCGGGGAGGTCTTTACCTGGGGCGGCGGCAGGTGAGCAGGGCTCTGGGGACACGGTGCGGGAGAGGGACGGCAGCGGGTGGGCCTTCAGGAGCTCCAGGACAAGCACTGTGCTGGTGGGATGCAGAGAGAACGATGGGCATGAGAGCGCAGAAGGGATGTGGGGGAGATGGGGAGTCTTTGGGGGGAGTGCAGGTGAGAGGGTGTCGGAATGGGGGTCACCTCAGGGGCTGAGCCCCCATTAGCCTGTGCACACTGCCTGGGGCCAGGATATGCCTCCTGACTTTCCCATGGGGGTGGACTTGGGAATGCTATGTTACAGCTGAGAGAAGTATTGGGGTACCAGCTGCAGGTGCCCAGTGCTCACACGCATGCTGATGGAATCTGTCCCTCACCAGAGCCAGGTCCCCCGGCACAGGCATCCCAAATCATGGCTATTCCTGGGGAGTGCTGGCCTGCCCATGCCCCTTTTCCCACTGAGTCCACCCTTGCTGGCCCCATGGGTAGCCCTGTCTCCTCTCTAGGTCTCTGGCTACTGACTCTGGCCTCTGCTCTGACTTTTGGCTCCCAAAGGGCAGTCTCCCAGGACATTTGGGATATATGTCCATCAAGGTCCCTGCTCTGTCCCTGCTCCTCTGTAACTTGCCACACAACACCTGCTGGCAGCAAAGCTCTTGTGTTTCTGAACTGGAGATTGATTCCATCAGTCTGTGACAGTTCAGTGCCAGGTCCCTCTGGTACAGTGGGAGGGCAGTGAACCCCTTGGGAAAAGCCTCCAGCCTGTGTCCTCCAGCAGGTGAACTTGGGTGCATTTAAGGTCTGTTGCCACTGCTCAGTTTATTCTCACAAAGGTGTTTCTTCTTGTTTTTCTTTTGGTTTAGGGTAAATTCTGGGAGGAAATTTCTGAGTGGAGTTCTTTTGGAAAATAAATTCAAGTGGCCCCTCCCCTAAATTGGTTCAGGAAAATATTTATTTGGAGAAAAGTGGAAAACTGTTTATTTAATAAGCAAAGTATTCACAAGTATAAAAAATGAATAATATTAAACAAATAAAAAATTCTGCTGTTCTGAAGAGATGGCAAATTTAGAAAGCTTTTTTAGTGAGGTGTAGGTTGGCTTGCTTAGTCTTTTATTAGACTGTCTGGCTATGGAATGCAGCATCCTAGGCTTTGGGGGGTTATAGGTGTGAGCTCTTTGTGTTCTTTTGCGTTTTCAGTTTAGAGTAAGTTTGAACAGTTCTGAGAAAAAGAAAAATCATAGTCTAGGGAACTTCACAACTCAGCTAGCTAAAAAAAACTAACTAAAAAGCAAAGGAGAGCTTTCTCCTGCTGTCTGTTTGCACTGCAGACAACACAGTCTAGAAGGATGTGGGGAAGTGAGTGCAGTTTTTGAAAACAAACTGCGTTTATTTTTTCCCTCTTTCACTCTCAGAACCAGTCTTAAAAGCGCAGAGCTTAATATCCAGCATAAACAGAACAGATGACTGGGGATATAAGCATCGTAAAGTCACTCTAGGACAGTTGTTCACTAGGGGGTTGCCTGTGCATTTGCTGCCCCAGTCAGCAGCTTTTCCCAGAAGGTGCTGGAGAGCCCAGCCGCAGGTCCCCCTGCCCTGGATCCCTGCGTTCTGCTGCTGCGTGAGGAGGCTTGGCCACCAGAGCAGGTTGTTCTCATCTGTAGGGTGGAAGGGTTGCTGTGTTCCTCTTTGCTGCTTAGGTGTCCTAGGTTAACTGTATGATGCCTTTACCCCCAGTCGTCTGCTCTGTTTATATTGAATAATAAGTTCTACACCTTTAAGACTTGTTCCAGGAGTGAAAGGGAGGGGGGAAGAAGCGCGGAGTTTGTTTTCAAGAACTGCACTCCCTCCTCCACATTCCTGCTCCTGGACTGTGTCGTCTGCGGATGGACAGACAGAGAGAGAGAGAGCTCTCCTTTTTTCTTTTCCTAGTTAGCTTTAGCTAGCTGAGGCGAAGAAGTTCCCTAGACTGTGGTGTTTTCCCTTTCTCTGGACCTGCTCTGGACTGAACCCTCAGAAGAGCAGCAGCAGCTCGCACCAGCGGGCCGGGCCTGGGCCGTGGCATTTCCAGCGCCGGAGGGACTGATCAGAGACTGAGTGAGCCCAGCTCCAACCCAGGGGATTTTTCCTGAATTTGTCTCTCTCTTAGAGTGGTGAGAAGTTTTATTGTTTAATATTGTTTAAAATTGCTTGTTTAATAAACAAGTTTTTTCCACTTTCCTCCAAAGAAGTATCCTTCCCGAACTGGTTGTGGGGGAAGGGGCCAATTGAATCTGCTTTCCTAAAAGAAACCCTTTTAGGGTTCTTTCCCCAAATTTGACCTGAACCAAGACAAATACATTTATTGGCTCAAAAAAAACCTCAAAAAAAAAAAAAAAAAAGTTTTCTCCAAGTCTCAACAATACAAATCAAAAGTCCTAATACCCAATGCAAACAGTCCCCAAATAAAGAAAGAAGGCACATCTCACGAGCTAAGCTATAGTTCTTCCTGCATAATTATAAAAAAAATATGAAAAAATAAAATAAAAAACCTACTAGTGCTCTAGCACAACAAATGCGTAAATTAAAAAAAAACAAAACTCAAAAAAAAGTTTTCACCAAAAAAAAAACAACTCCAATAACTCATAATCAAACTACCATATATAATAATAATAACAATATTTTCAATCCCCTTAAAAAAACCTCCAAAACATATGCCCCAGAAAAAAAAAATAACCAAGCTTAAAAAAGCCCTGCCTCTAACCAAGTAGAGGCTAAGAAAAACCATATTTTTTAGACTATATAAATTCATTAACCTAACACATCAAAACCACAAATATATAAAACTTTAATCAACACTAGTACACAATACACATTAATCCCATCAAAATATGTGAAAGCAAAACATGTTTCTATTGCTAGTGTGCCAGGGGAATCACAAAACTTTACTTCAATAAAAACTAAAATCAGCCTAACTAAAAATAAATAAAAAAACCAGTCCATTATAACTAACCCAAAAACCCCATAAATTTTAAACATAAACTTTCTCCAAAATAAATATTTCAAAAACCCAAAAAGACTCAAATGAGCATTTAAAATAGCAACTATAAAAACAAAAAACATCAAACAATTAAACAGCTTACCTAAACTATCAAAAAACCCATCTACAATAAAACTCTTAAAAATAAAAAATCAACAAATACCAATTGCCACCTCAATAATACACCGCCAACAATACCAAACAAATCAAAATGCCATAATCCCCACCCACAAAATAATCCATAAGCTAAATAACCAAAAAATAGTCAACAAAACCCACTCACCTTTCAACAACCCCATCTAGCCTATACATAAATCTAAAAAAAAATAAAAATTAACTGTAAACTACCGTACATTAAATAAAGTAACTCCACCACTAAGCGCTACTGTGCCAAACATACTAAAACTCCAATACAAACTAAAGTCCAAAACAACAAAATAATACGCCACTATTAATATTGCTAATGCATTTTTCTCCATTCCTCTAGCAGCAAAATGCAAACCTCAATTTACTTTCACCTGGAGGGGCATACAATACACCTAAAACCAACTACCCCAAGAATAAAAACACAGCCCCACCATCTGTCATAGCCTAATTCAAACTACACTAAAAAAAAATAAAGCTCCAGAACATCTACAATATATTAATAATATCATTATATAGGGGAAGACAGCAGCAAAAATATTAAAAAAAAAAAAAGAAAATCATCCAAATTCTCCTAAAAGCTAATTTTACCATCAAAAAAAAACAAAAACAAAGGACCTGCTCAAAAGATCCAGTTCCTAAAAATAAAATAACAAGATAAACAGCGTCAAATTCCTGCAAATATCATCAACAAAATCACAACAATGTCTCCACCAACCAGCAAGAAGGAAACACAAGCTTTCCTAAGTGCCATAAGTTTTTAAAAATTACACATTCCCAAATATAGCCAAGTCGTAGACCCTCTCTACCTAATCACCCACAAAAAAAACATTTTCCACTAAAACCCTGAACAGCAACAAGCCTTCACCCAAATCAAACAAAAAAGCACACATACAATAACCCTTAACCCAATCAAAACAAAACCAAATATAAAAAATGTGCTCTACTCTACAGCCGGGAGCCATAATTTGTCCTAAAGCCTTTAACAAAACGTGCCTAATTAAACTCAAAGCCAACCACTAAAATTTTAAAGTCAAAACTATAAAAAATCTAAAGCCAACTATACTCCAACAAAAAAAGAAATTTTAACAGCCTATAAAAAAGTCCAAGCCGCCTCAGAGGTAATAAATACAAAAGCACAACTCCTCCTAGCACCCCGACTATCAGTGTTAAAATAGATGTTCAAAACAAAGGTTCCCTCTACCCACCATACCACCAATGCCACATAAATAAATTACCCTTATCACACAACGCACACAAATTAAAAAACTAAATCGTCCTAAAATTTTAAAAATAATTACAAACTAGCCTAAAAATAAAAACTTTAATCTCACTAATAAAAAAAAAAAACCACATGCTAAAAAAACACCACCATATAACCAACTGCCAACAAAAAAACCACATTACACTCTTTTCACTAATAGTTCTTACCACATTATAAAAATAAAACAAAAATAAAAACCAACCATATAGAGTCCCACACAACAGGTTGCAAAAACTACAGAAAGAGAGAGTGACTCAAGTCAACTCGCAAAACTCAAAGCCATTCAACTAGCCCTAAACATTACTAAAAAAAAAAATAGCCAAAACTCTACCTCTACACTAATTCATAAATAATAACCAATACTCTATAAAAATAACTAAAAAAAAAACTAATTAACAACATAAAAAAAAACCAATTTAAACTACTAATAAATAAAAAAACATTACTACCAAAATAAAAAAACTATCTATAAAAGTTCACCATATAAACACCCATATCCCCAAGAGGAGAGCCAATAAAAAACACCAACACAACCAACAAGTAAACCAAACTACAAAAATAAATATATCAAAAATAAACTTAAATTAACAACACAAAAAAAAATTATTCTTAACACAATAAACCCATAATGCCTCAAACCATCAAAACAAAAATGCCACTTTTAAATAAACACAAAACCAAAAAATAAATTTAACCATAAACAATATTTCTCAAATTATCCATAACTATAAAACATATACTACCATAAAACAGGCCAAGCGGGTAAAGCCCCTATAATATAATAAACAATAGTCCAAATACAACTATAAAAAAGCCTAACAAATTAACTACATCACACTGCCCCAAACACACCACAGCAGGCATTATATACTCACCATAATAAAAGCCACCACTAAATAATTAAAAACCTATCCTATGCCTCATGCTACAGCCCATAACACCATTCTAAGCCTTAAAAAACAAATCCTTTAAAAACATAGTACCCCTAAAAAGATTAAATCAAACAATAAAACTCATTTCAAAAATAATCTTATCAACACCTAAACTAAAAAACATAACATTAAATAAATATACCACATCCCCTACCATACACCAACTACAAAAAAAAATACAATAAACTATTAAAAACCACCTTAAAAAGATGAAATAAAAAATCTTTCAAAAATTAAAAACAAAATCTAAGAAAAGCCACCTAATTAATTAACACCCAAAACTCTACCAGTCGATTAAGCCCTACCCAATCTCAACTTTTACATATAATAAATAAAAACAAAATCCCAATAATACATATCAAAAATTTATTAAAAAAAACCAATATAAATCAATTCTACCTCAAATACAAACAAACCTATTAATAAAATTATCTTTACACAAAAACCAAATTATACATAATAAATAATACAAAAAAATAAAAAACCACAATATATACCTCAAAAAAATCTAATTATTAAATAAAAATTATATATAAATATCAATATTTTCTAAATATTACTGCCATTGTCTATATATAACTATATATTAAATATATAATATATGTATTTATAAAGTTTAAATATATATATTAATTTTAATAATAAACTAACAATATAAAAATAAAAAATAAAATGTCCTAAATTAACTATATAATGCCTTTATCCCCAATCGTCTACTCTATTTATATTAAATAATAAATTCTACACCTTTAAAACTTATTCAAAAAAAAAAAAAAAAAAAAAAAGGCACAAAATTTATTTTCAAAAACTGCACTCCCTCCTCCACATTCCTGCTCCTAGACTGTATCATCTGCAAATAAACAAACAAACAAACCTCTCCTTTTTTCTTTTCCTAATTAATTTTAACTAACTAAAGCAAAAAAGTTCCCTAAACTATAATTTTTTTCCCTTTCTCTAAACCTGCTCTAAACTGAAGCCCCAAAAAAGCAGCAACAACTCACACCTATAGCCCAGCAGGCCGGGCCTAAACCACAACATTTCCAGCGCCGGAGGGACTAATCAAAAACTAAATAAGCCCAGCTACAACCCAAAAAAATTTTCCTAAATTTATCTCTCTCTTAAAATAACAAAAAAATTTATTATTTAATATTATTTAAAATTACTTATTTAATAAACAATTTTTTTCCACTTTCCTCCAAAAAAATATCCTTCCCAAACTAATCGGGGGGGGAAGGGCCAATTAAATCTACTTTTCTTAAAAAAAACCCTTTTAAAATTCTTTCCCCAAATTTAACCTAAACCAAAACAAATACATTAGGGAAGGCAAACCCAGCACTGATCATGTGTCTCAGAGCTGCGTGCCCTGACCCAGAGCCCTCCCTGTTCTCATTGTGAGGAGGGTTTCACTCCCGGTCCCTGCTCCTCGCCTGCTGTCCCCAGGCTAGCTGGTAGCAAACACAGCTCATGGCAACCGTGACACTCCGTTTACGTCAGCAGTTGTTGCTTTGCAGACACTACGGTATTTGGTTCTTCCTGCCTTCCCTTCAGGGGAAAGGTTTCTACGTGTGGGGATGTGTACTTGAGGATTAACTTTCTTGGAATTCGGTTATTCAGCACAGCTGAGACTCCTCTCAGGCCTGCCTGTGCCAGTGTGTGCCGCAGTGTGCCAGCTGTGCTGTGTGACAGCCCGGTGCTGGCCCAGCCACCCCTTTGGAGTCCCTCTCTTGCTGCTAGCTGTGGGCAGCATTACCCTCTCGTGAGGGAGTGCCCAGAACCGCTTTTTTGTTGCAGCATGCCCTTCCCTGCCCCACAGCTCCCAGTGTCTGTTTGCCTCAGTCCTCTGCAGATTTCCCATATGGAATGTGAAGAGCCGTTCCAGTGGGTGCATCAGCACAGCTGTTGACATTCCTGAGCTGTCAGGCTGAAGCTCCCCAGAGCACCACTCTGCAGCTGAACTGCTCCTCTCACCCCTACAGCTCCTGCCAGCCCCTCCTGCTTCTGCCCCATCTTTGACAGCTAAAGCCTGGTGCTGTGTCCCCCTGCTGCCCACCCGCCCCTGGCTGTAGCTGCGGTGGTGCTGCTGGGCATCACTCTCCCACTGGCACTTGGCTTTTCCCTCTTGCTGGGGTTGGTTCTTCTGCTCAGCCGTGGTTGTTCCCTCAGCTGCTCGGGCTGTGCCAGCCCGGAGCTGGGTTGGTGGCAGCAGGAAGGGCTTGGTGGGGACTGTGGCAGGAGGCAGTGGGCTGTGTGCGTGTCCCTCTGTGTCCCTGCAGGCACGGGCAGCTGGGCCACGGGCTGCTGGAGCCGGAGCTGCAGCCGCGGCTGGTGGAGGCGCTGGCCGGGGTGCCCATGGGCGCGGTGGCGGCCGGCGGGTGGCACTCGGCCAGCGTTAGTGGTAAGGGCCGGGCCGGGCTGGCAGCTTGGCGTGTGCTGGCAGCGCATGGTGGGGCCTGCCTCGGGGAGCGTGGGCTGTTGCTGTCCCTGGAGCACCCGATGCTGCCAGGGAGCGCGGCCCAGGGCTGAGCTCTGCCTGGTGCGTTTCCCCCCACCCCGCAGAGGCTGGAGACCTGTACATGTGGGGCTGGAACGAGTCGGGGCAGCTGGCTCTGCCCTCCAAGGCGCTGGCAGAGGAGCGAGCGCGAGATGAGGAGGCGGGCGCAGGTGAGTGCTGCTGGCCAGGCCGAGGGCAGGCTGGGCCGGGTTCCTGCACAGCCCCAGCAGCTCAGAGCAGGGCCAGCGCGGCTCGAGCCTGCGAGCGATGCTGCTGGCACCTCTTCTGCAGGGAGCACCGAGCTGATGCCCTGCCGGGAGCAGCAGGCTCCCAAGGATGCTGCGTTCATCTCCATCCAGGCGTTCCCGGCACTGCTGGACCTGCCGGAGGATCTGGAGGTCAGCGCGGTCAGCTGTGGCTCCCGACACACAGCCGTGGTCACACGTGAGTGTCCAGCAAGGCAGGGGTGCTGAGAGGTGCCAGGGCTCTCCAGGACCCGCCTGGCAGTGCCCTGGGAGCAGGGGGAGGGCTGTGGGGATGGAGCTCACCGGGTGCTGCCTGATGGTGCTGTCCCTGTTGCAGGAGGCGGGGAGCTCTACACCTGGGGCTGGGGTAAGTGGCACCTCTGCTTTGGGACTGTACAACCTGCCAGGAGCAGCTTCTGATTCCTGTTGTCTCGCCCTTGGCTCTTGTGTTGCTGTACAAGTTCCATCTCTGCTGGGGGCTCTTGTGTTCCCTTCCTTGCTCCCCACACACACCAGGAGCAATTGCCCTGTGGGGCCCCAGGGCCACGTTACGCTGTGGCTGTGTGTCTGCAGGTAAATACGGACAGCTGGGACATGGGAACAACATCAGCTCTGACCAGGCACGCCGTGTCGAGCACCTGGTGGCCAAGGGATTGCGTGTGGAGGAGGTGGTATGTGGGCCCTGGACCACTTATGTACGTGTGCGGGAGTCGTGAGGGCCCCAGGACCCATGGGTGCTGCCAGAGGAGGATGAGGGCAGGCTCTGCTCTGCAGGACCGGCTTCAGGACCACTCGGTCCTCAGGGCCAGGGCAGACAGCCCCCCGTGGCACAGGATGGGGCTGAGGTAGCCCACAGTGACCTGATGGACACGCTGCAGTGGGGCTGCAGCTGCATCAGGGCCAGGGACACCCTGGGACGGGCTGGATGTGTTTATTAAATTCACTTTTCTGTAAGGGCTGCAGTGTTGGTGTGTGCGAGACACGTTCCAGCACACCCGGCTCTGGCGAAGCCATCCTGGGGCGGCTTTGTGTGACCACGGTGGTCACTCAGGGATGTTTGGCAGAACTGAGATGCTGGCACAGAACTGAGGCCGGTTCTGCTCCTTTGGGGGTGCAGAGGAACTTGTGAGGGGCTGGGATACACAACTGGAGCCGGGAACCCCACCTGAGCCCGGAGGTGTCCCGGGCCGTGCGGTACCGCGGGCAGTTCCCACGGGCAGTGTGAGGGAAGCGGGATGGGGATCCGGGCGCTGCATCGGCGCTCGGCCAATCAGAACACAGCTCCATGCGCGCTCTGGTTTGTTTCAGCCACTCAGGATTCGGATTGGGGCTGCGGTTTCAGCCAATCCGGATGAGCACTGAAAGTTCAGGGGGTTCTTTAGCTAATCAGGAAGTGATTGGGACAGCTCCTTGTCTGGCCAATCAGGATGCAGATTGCGGCTGCCGGACTTGGCCAGTAAAATCTGCGCGCTGAGCCCCGCTTCTGATTGGCTGAGGCTGCTGGCCCCGCCCCTCCCACCGCCCCCCTGCCGGGTCCCCGATCAGAGGCTGGGGCTGTACAAGGACTTTATTCACAACATCTAGACGTTTTTTTTAAATAAAAGCACATTTCTAAAGCAGCAGCGGAGGGGAGGGTTGTCCGGGAGCGGGCGGTGCTGCAGGCCCTGCACTGCTGCCGGAGCAGGGCCTCACCACGCGGCATTGTTGGTGGTGGAGTTGAGAACATGGGAGGTGCTTTCAAAGCTGGAAGCCTTTGAAAGTTGGCGCTGTGGAAACAAGAAGTGGGGAAAGGAGAGGGATGAGAGAAGGGAGGGGGCTGCTGCCTCAGTTCAGTGCGGACAGACAGAGGCAAGCCAGGCTGCCAAAAGGAGATGGAATACAAATTAATATGTGAGCTATCTATGGGACCTTGTAGCCAATTAACATTAATGCCGTCCTTTACTAAAATGTGTAAAGGGTAAAAAACTTCTGGTAGCGCCACACAGTGGTAAATCTCTGGCTCAGCCCAGCCTGGTGGGAGGACAGAGGCTGTCCAGGGCCCCCCATGGTCCCCCACCCTGAGAGAGGAAAGCAGCCCCCCTTGAGCCTCTGCTCTCTCCACCCTCGGGGCTGTGCCCTGGAGCTGTCCCTGCCCAGGGCTGGTGGCCTGTCCCCATGGCTGCTCAGGGCCCTCTGCCACCAGCTCCAAACTCAGTTTGGAGTTCTCTATGGGAGTCACAGACAGGGGCAGGAGCAGCCACCCCGAGAGAGGACACCGGGGGACACCAGGGGACACGGGGGAGCAGAGGTCCTGTGCTGTGCAGTGGGGGTGGGTTAGAAGAGGTGAATTACCGCAAACTCAGAATAGGTGCTGGCAACAGAACTAACGCTGTGGTTACGCTGGGCAGGGGCTCTGGGGGTGCACCCACCGCTCAGGGTGGTTCCGTCCAGCTGGGACATGTTCTCCTTGTTCTGCTCCCTCAGCCTGCGTCGGGGGGGCTTCACTGCCGTGCGGGTGGGGGTCCGGGCCCGGCTGAACTGTGGGGAGAGTTTGGGGACAGTTAAGGGATGCAGGAATTGAGCAGAGGCAGGAGAGCTGTGGTAGCTTTGGTACCCATCACTCTGAGGAGCCAGAGCAGTGCCAGGCTCCAGGAGCTCTCCAGACTCTGGGGTCCAATTTTGGCCCCTGAAACATTCAGCACACAATGACAGAATCCTGCAATGATGTGGGTGGGAAGGGACTTCAATGCCCATCTCGTTCCAGCTCCCTGCCATAGGCAGGGAGGCCTCATTAGACAAGGATGCTCAGGCCTCCCTCAGGTCCCAGAAACACCCCAGCAGGACGGCAGTAGCCCCACAGAGCAGAATGCAGACAAACAGGGGCTCAGCAGGGGAGGCAGTGCACCATGGGGGGATAGCAAGAGGAGCTGCACCACCTCAGCTCACCTGTCCCTTCCAGCCCAGCCCCGGGCAGGGACTCACCTTCTTCCCGGAGGGTGGCAACCGAGTCGTGGGCGAGTGGGAGACGGCTCCCCCGAAGGCTGAGCGAACAGTGCTGTTGGATGTGGTGCTGGCGCTGAAGGTGCCGTGCAGCTGAGGAGAAAGCAGGGCACACATCACACAGGACATCTTCCCACGGGGCTGCAGCGCCCAGCCCCTCCCTGGGGCCAAGGCCAGCCCAGGGCCATGCTCCAGCCCAGGGAGAGACTGGCTCCAGGCAGGCCCCAGCCAGCCCAGGGCTGTGCTCCAGGCAGGGAGAGCTCGGCTCCAGCCCAGGGAGAGCTCGGCTCCAGGCAGGCCCCTGCTCTGCAGGGCCATTTTACCTTGCTTGCTTTGGCGGGGGTGTGGGGGCTGAGCATGCGCCGCTTGATGGGCGTCCGTGGGGCGCTGCCGTAGAGCATCTCTGCCTCCATTTCCCGGCTCTTCTTCAGGTGCTGTGGGACACAGCTGCACTGACACACCTGAGCACCACGGAGCTGGTGTGTCTGTGTGACACTGCCTGTGGGCACTGCCCTGCTGGCAGCCCAGCACAGCCACACAGCAGGAGCTTCATCAGAGATTTACAGGTATCCAGAGCCAAGTGTCACCTCTGGCACAGCTGGGGCCAGAAAGGGGCTTGGCCCACGCAGATGTGACAGCAACGGGCACCAGCCCCGCTGCCTGCAGCTTTCAAGCTGGGAATGAGCAGGCAGAGCTCAGGGCAGTGGGGGGGCCCAGCAGGGACACCCCTAGGCTGGTGTTCTTAGGCAGGAGCCAGGGACACTCCCAGGCAAACGCCAGCGTGCTCAGCTCTGCACTCACCCGCTCCTGCTTCTCCTTCTCCTTCTCTAGACGGTACTGCTGCCACTGCTCTGACACATACTCCATGAACTGCTGCCCCTTCACCAGGAAAGCTCCCTTGAACTCCTGCTCCCAGGTCTGGACCTTCCTCTCCAGCTCCTCCTGCAGCTGATCAGGACATGAGGGCAGTGTAGGGGCTGCCCTGAACACAGGTGTCCCCACACCCAAGGATCCCTTTTTCTGTGTCAGTGGGACCACAGGTCCTTCCCCAGGGCTGGACCTACCCTAGACAGCGTCTTCTGCAGCTTTGCTCGCTGCTTCTCCTCCTTCAGAAGGTTTCCTCCTCGATTGGTGAAGCGGCTGGGGTCACTTGCTTTACTCTGGTAGAGAAGGGTGGTCAGGAGCGACACAAACACACCACCCAATCCCCTCAGCCACACATGGTGAAGGCCCCAGAGGAGCCAGCCCTGCACAAACACCCCAGTGCTCAAAACACAGCACCTCATCCCTGCACTGGCCCACCACGACTTCCCAGTGGCTCCCTGCTCCTTCCCAGAGCGCTCTCCCATGGGAGCACAGGTACACGCTGAGCCATGACCCCACATGCTCCAGCCTGGACAATACCTCCAGCTCCAGGAACAGCTGCCAGTTCTCCTGCCACTTCTGAACAGCCTCAAACAGATCTTTGTGTGTTTCGTAGTAGATCTTCATCTTGCCCACCTCAGCGTCATGCAGCTCCAGCAGGCTCTCTGAGTAATCCTCTGGAGGGGCACAACAGCCAGGTCAGGGGGCTGCTGGAACCCCTGGATCCCTCCCCAGATCTGCCTGGCCAGCCAGCACCCACCGTCATAGAAGGGGCTGAACCTCTCCCTCTGCTCTTGGCTGTAGAAGCATTTGTCCCAGTAGTCAGCCAGCTCTGCCCGGATGGCGTGGATGACGGACTTCATGTTCTGCAGCTTCAGCTCCTCCAGACGGTCAACCTCCTGCTGCAACTGCCCCGGGAGCAGAGCGCAGGTCAGGGAGGAAGAGGGGAGAACAGGGCTCATCTTCTGCGTGAGCCGCTCTCTAGAACGAGGCAGCTGCCAGCACCGACCTCCAGCACCCCCTCCAAGCAGCCAGAATTTGGCCAGAATTTGGTCTCACTGAGCAACCAGGAGCATGAGATCCCCAGAGCTGCTGCCCCCAGCCCTCCCTCCGTGAGCACAGCGGGGCTCTTACAGCTCTCTTGGTCCGGGCCCTGGACCCGGCCAGGTGCACGGCCGAGGACTGTCTCTCCTCCTCGGGGATCTGCAGCCTTTCCCAGAGCGCGAGGATCCTGGCACGCAGCTCCGCACACACCGCCTCGTTCAGGGCCCGCCGGGCTTCCAGCTGCACGAGAGGGAGCGGGGATCAGCGCAGCCGGAGCCCGCTGCGCCCGCGGGGCTGCGTGCTGGCACACCAGAGCTCCCGAGTGCCCTGTGTGCAGACACACAGCCTGGCCAGAGCCCAGCGCCTGCTCTTACAGCACGGCAGCAGCCACAGCGCTGCCTCAGAACACAACAGACCTGCTGCAGCAGCGTCTGCAGGGCCACGATGTTGTCCTGGGACAGGCAGAACGCCTCCTCATCCTCACACACCACGTCCCGCTCAAAGCTGGTGTCTGGGGTGTGGTCCAGCTCCTCCATGAGCAGAATGATCTGATGCTTGGTGGTGACAAATTCTTCCCGCCTTTGCTCCTGGGGGCGAGGGCGGTGTCAGGAACCAGGGGGCCCCTTGTGAGCCCCTGAGGCCCCCCTGACCCTGCAGGCTCACCTTCAGGGTGTTGAGGGAGGCCACGTGGCGCCGGTAGCGGTCCAGGTCCTCCAGGCTGGGCACACTGCCGGTGTCGATGGTGAACAGGGCTGTGCACAGGATGTCACACAGGGCTCGGTCCTGCTCCTGCAGGGCCTTCAGCTCCTGCTTGCGGTCCCGCTTCTGCTTCTGCAGCACCTCCACACACGTGCGCAGGTTCTTCTCCATCTGCAGGATGGTGCTTTCCTCCTCTGTCTGCAAGGGGCCAGAAATCAGCTCTGTTCCAGACTTCTCCCACACCTGCCTTATGCTTCAGGTTTTTGTGCAAAGCCTGGGGCGGGGCTGCCAGGCCTGGGTTTGAGTGAGATGCTCCTCAGGATGAGCACCAGCAACACACAAAACAGGGTGCTGGAGAACACCACACA